TCTTTATGAGAGATTCAAAGTTATTTCTTCAAAATTATCATTGCTGTTTATTATATATATAAATATATATTTAAGTCATAAACCTAATTTTCTCCTTAAAAATTATGTTCTTTTTTTTTAATTATGGCATTAGACAAACTGGGTTATGTTCAGTATCGTTTTTTTTAAAACGAGAGAGTTAGATCGTTTGTCCAAACACAAGTCTCTTTTATGTTCATAGATGCGGGCTTTTATATCATATGATGTCTCCTCCGCATAAACATTTTTGCATTGTAAACAATTTATTTGATAAATCTTGACATTTGAATTGGTGTTGGGTTTTGTTTTCCTTTTATTATATCTCCGATTGTCTTAATTTTTAACGATCCTAGTATTAATCTTTTATTTGTTTGCGAGTTTAGTAGGTCAAACAGTGTTCGAGGGCAGGAATATGAATTTTGTATAATTTCTGTTAGAAGTGTTATTGGTGGTGTCTGTTTTTATTTAGGTTTTTGATTTTGTAAGCTCTTATTTAGCGTTGAGGATAAAATGATGTGGGTAGTGGAGAAGTTTGAGAGTTTTCTCAATATATTTCTGTTCTTCATTGAGATATTCCGGGCTACATATCCTAAGAGATCTGAGGTAGACTCCTATGATTAGTCCAGATTTTATTCTTTGGTTGTGGTGGGAATAGAAGTTGATTACATCAATTTTGTTTGTGATAAACATTAAAATCTACTTTCTCATAGTAGCGTATTAATAAGATGTAGAGGAAAGGAAAGAATGTTTTTTTTTTTCAAATACGTGTGTGAATTCAATGGTAGGTTCAGCCTTATTGAGTTTCATTATTATGTCTAATAGATTTGTATCTTGGGCATATAATAAGAGGGAGTCATCTATATATCTTAGGTAAGTACAGATGTTTGGAATGATTTGTTTAAATGAACCAGATTCTGAAAATTCTAGAAAAAAGGCAAGCGAGAAGACCACTGATAGATGACCCCATTTTGCTTATAGAGAATATTGTTCAAAGAGAAGAAGACTTAATTAGTGATTAATTTAATATTTTATGATTTTGTGGTCAGGAAAGGGTCATTCAAATTTTTTATGTTGTTTCTCAATATGTTGAAGAATTTTGTGATGGTGTATAATGATTTTGTGATGGTGTATAATCGTACTTGATGTCTAAACTCGATTTAACCATGTTTTCCATATATACGTTTCGTTTAATTTGATAAAGTCACCAGAGTGTTTTTGTTGTTAAATGTGTTGGTGGTTCCTAAGTTTTGTTGGACATTTTAATGGCTCTAATTTGTGGGTTGCACTGCTGATATCGGACACAATGGGTCTGATGGATATGTAAGGTTTGTGAGTTTTGGGTAAGCTGTATAGTATGGTAAAACTATAAAAATATGGGGTAGTATTCTATTAATTTGGTCCAGGATTTATTTTGGTTTGTAATATTTTCTTTTCAACTGTTTTTTGAATATTTGGGATAGTGTTTATTGTTTGTTCATTGTTTTGTGTGTTGTGTGTGTGTGTGCGTCCGTGTTTATGTTAATGTGTGTGCGTTAGCGTGTCTTCTCTAAGTGTGTGCGTGTGCGTTATTTGTGCATTTGTTCCCTGCGTGCGTGTTGTTTGTAGCGTGTGTTGTGTGTGCGTGTGTGTGGGGGGTTTGTCAATATTCTTTGAGGTTTAATTCTTCATTGTTGAACATTGGTATCCTTCTAACTATTCTAAGTCCTTTGTCGAATGGGGTTATGATGATGTTTTTTGTCCGTTGGATAAGTGTTTTAGTTCCCGCATGTATCTCCTGGGTAGTGTAGTTTCATTGATATTTGTGAGGGTGGTTGTCAATTCGGCGTGGTTGTGCTTTGTTTTATCATTCTATTGAAATTTTCTGTCTAAAATTTTACTGGTAACAATTTTCATATTCAAAATCAATTGAGGAATAACAAGTTTGAATTTGAACAAAGAAATATTAACAAATATATTGTCATCACATTTTACAAATGACAAACAAAGAAATAAATCAAATGTTAAAATTCAAAAGCATCGAATACGGTAGTTGATTACCAATTTGCAGGATTGGAAAAGAATATATCGTTTCGCTAAATTTTCCCGAGAAAAAGATTGAGTCTTTCAAATCTCACGCCGCCTGTAAATTGTCGGGGGGGCGATAATTACAAAATCTCTTATTTGAGATCTTATTAATCAGGAAGCGATAATCCAACAATACATATATATATATATATATATATATATATATATATATATAACTTCTGGGGGGTCTTATTTTCTTTATTTTTCGTTATCTATGTTTTTCCTCCTCTCTCTCTCTCATATATATATATATATATATATATATATATATATATATATTGAACAATAAAAATCTTTAAAATCTTCAAATGTTTGGGTGTGATTAATTTTGTTTAGTTTCTTTTTATTATTATTTCATTTAGATTCCTCGACTAGTTTTCGGCCAAAATGACCATCATCAGGAGAAGAAATATTTCTGCTTGCTGGTCGCATAAATATATAATATATTTATTGATGAAGAAATAACTTTTTGTCTTAGTTTTCATTTGTTTGTTTTTTTAATTTTTTAACATAAATCTTTTAACATTCATTGTGTTGGTCAAACAGTCTCTTTTAATTGTTATTTGAGATAAGATAGAATGGATCTATGCTGCTCTGAATTCCCCTGGTCAGTTTGACAGTTTTATTGGCCCTGAGAGGGATGTGTCTCTGTTATTTTTTGGTTCTTAGGGAATGAGTGAGTATGGTATGTGTATTGTGGGTATTCTATTATGGGTGGATGTTTTACCGTGAGGCTTCAGTCCTCCGTAAGCATGTCTTTTGTGTGGGTGAGAAATTTGGGTAGTTTTTATTTTTTTTTTTTATTTTATTATTTACTATCTATACGTGTTAAATTTATTTTTATCCCGGCTTTATACAGTTTTTTTTTGGTTTGAATCCACTTATTTTCAAAGAACTCTAAAATTCTTTTTTAATGTTATCTGTTTTTGGACTTTTCTATTCTCTCAATTATAGTGAATTTTTTTTTTTTGTGTTTTCTAAGCAGAAATTTTGTTCTGGGAATAATTTTTTCTATTTACTTCGACTTAATTCGATTGGATAATTTTAATTTGTAGTGAAAGGGTCATTCAAATTTTCCTACATTTTTTCTGGCATATAGTATTTATTTAAATTATTTTTGATTTTATTTTAGAATCGTATTTTTTGAAAGTAGATTTAGTTTGAGCTTTATTTGAATTTTCATTTTAATGTGGTTGCGTATAAAATTTTTTTTGTTGTTAAATGGTTGGGAAAATCCTGTTGTTTTTTTGTTTTTATTATTTATTTTTGTCCCCTGAAATGTGGTTACTATCTATTTTTTCTTTTTAAGTTCTTAGGTCTACGATTTGCAAGAAGGCCGGGTTCATAAACAACTTTTTTAGGTCTGGTTTGAGATGTAGTATTTTCCAGCGACGTTTGATTATTTGGGATAGTGGAGGCAGTTTTTATTTGAAAGTATTACTTAGAAAGAATGCGGCTAGATTTATTTTTAATCTTTGTACATTAGGGTGTTTCTCTAAGTGGAAATTGCTTTATTTATTTGTTCCTTCATTAGGTGTTGTTTATAGCCACGTCTTGTGAATTGATGCTGGTGATTTTATCAATGTCTTTATTTAATTCTTCATTTTTGAAACATATCCTTCTGAGTCATTCGTTCTTTAATAGGGAAGTTCTCTTGAGGTTTTAGGGTGGGAAGACTTTAAGTGTAGATAATTTTGGGTGTCGGTGATTTTTTTTTTTATTATTTTGTGCCATGTTTTCATCTATGTAAATGTACGGGTGTCTAAAAATTTACTGGTGTTTTTTTGAATATCTTGTGTGAGTCGTGCTTGTTTCTAAGGAAATGTTTTTGTCATCACTGTTTACAAAGAATATTTTTCCTACGTTTGTTTTTACGTTCTTGCTGTACGGTGGGTTGAACCATATGATATTTCTCTCCTCCTGTTTTTTTTTGATTATTGGTGAATATGATGGAGCTATTGGTGCCCATCCGCAATCTTTTATTTGAAGGTTTCATAGTCTTTCTTGAAAGTTTGTTGAATGTAAAAACATTGGATGAGTTTTCGGAGAACCGGCTGGTTAATCTTGTTTTGGTATCTTTTTGATTATAGAAGGCGGATGGTTGGAAGATGTGTGTATGTTTGAATGGTTTATCGTTAGGTTTTCTGAATGGTTTATATGTGCCTGTTTGTTTGAAGGTAACATTTAGGAAATCTACTTCGTTTTCTGATTAGGATTTTATATAGCTAGAAAAATAACAGCATATGTGGCCTGACGATTGCATATAGCATAAACAGACTGTCGCCTCTATATATTGACTATATATTCATTTATATATATATATATATATATATATAGTTAGGTAATCCGTAATCACTTTGCATCAACTTAAAACTACCCCTCAAAAACTTGTATAAAAAAATAATATGTAAATTTTAAACCATTTTCTTTTATGTTTGGAAATGTGATCTGAATATTCAGGAGAAAAGTCCCATTCCTGGGGAAATAAAATATAATCTATGAACGCTTAATGTTGTCTGTTATTTAATTTAACTTATGTGTGTGTATATATATATATATATATATATATATATATATATATATATATATGTGTGTGTGTGTGTGTGTGTGTGTGTTTATATATATATATATATATATATATATATATATATATATATATATATATATATATATATATATATATATTTCTTTGTTTTCCCGATCACTATATTAGTTTTCTTTCTCTTTTTCTTGCTGAATTATTTTCTCTCACTATATAATAATTTTTTTTTTCCCTTTTCACTATGAGTTTTCTTTTTTTTCCGCTATTTCCCTCCCACTTTCTCTCTCTCTCTCTCTAATCTCTTTTCTTTCTCTCTCTCTCCTTTTTTACACTTTCACTATCTATATTTTTTTCTTTCTTCCTCTCGCTATATTAGTCTTCTTTATTTATTTCCCCAATTTCTTTTCTCCCTCTCTCTCTCTCTCTCTCTCTCTCTCTCTCTCTCTCACATACACATTCACTATCTATATTCGTTTTCTTTCTTCCTCTCGCTATATTAGTCTTCTTTATTTATTTCTCGCTAATTTGTACTCTCTTTCTCTCTCTCGCGCGCGCATGCGCTCTACATTCGTTTTCTATATTTCAATAATCTCTGTTCGTTGTTGAATTAATCAACATAGAAATTTTTAATATAATAAAAGACTGTTATGTCGATTTGTATATTTGTTTCCAAATAAGAAAAAAAGAAGCTCAAATAAAATGCAATTTCTACGGGTACATATAGTTTTTCTTCTTTCTTAAGATAATATTTTCTTATAGATTTTTCAACTACAAAACTCAAAACTCTTTAATCCCCAAACTACATGAGGATAGACGGCCTTACTTGTCCTGCAAATTTTCCTCTACTTATTTCCGTTGTCATTTTTTTTTTTTTAGTCTCTGACATAAGATGTTCATGTGTCATGGCAATCTGATCATGAATTGGCATGTCATTATGGCTACTATAAAAAAAAAGAAATCTAAGCTCGCGGTCATCAAATCCGATGTTTGGAGAGCGATGAAAAATGTTTACATGAAACAGAAAAATGGTTAAGAGTGCTAAAGAATTTTCCGATTAAAAACTTACATGAAATAAAAATGTTTCTATTATTTACATCCACTTTCTTCATATTTGTTGTTATTATCACGACGTTTCGACCGCCATGCCCCTCCAGCCTTCGTTATTTAATCTACGGGGGCAGATTATTCTAGTCCCTCTCTCATATCAAATGATATCTTGTTCTGATTTAGTACTGCTCAGAACACTGGAAAGTCAGATGTCTTAAAAAATCAGCGCATATGATATGCTCAGTAGACATAGCATAAAAATAAATAAATACCCCAATGGGAGCCTTGAATAAATAAATAAAAAAAAAAAATAAAGAGATATGACAGAAAGGTTTCAACGACAGCAGTTTGCCGTGAGTAATTTGTGTCAATAGCAAACAGACAGGTTAAAAATAATATAGTTTAAGTTTTAGGCTCAGGATTGTCCCACAATAGCCTAGTGCAGTGGTTCCCCATTTTTTTTTTTTTTTTTTTTTGCATTTTCGGAATTTGCCTCACCATGTTTAATGTGATAAAAAGCTACATTTAAAACTGAAAAAATAGAGAGAGGGTCACAAGGAAATAACCACGAATTCGAAACCAGAGCATTATCATTGATAACTATCTCCTCCAATTTGCGGACCCGAGTTACTATATTCTTAATACTTGTTTAATGCAAAAATATCATAATGATAAAATTGGTCAATAATTATTTATAACTGCTTATACTTGGACTCATGCATGCAATTACAGGTAAATTTAAATTTTGAAAATCATATTTATTTATTTTTGGGATATGAGTTTTTTGAAACTTTTTCACATTTTTGTCTTTCATTCATTCCGCCTCAGCTTCCTTTCTGCCTCACCTGCTATCCTCTTCCGCCTCACCTGCTATCCTCTTCTGCCGCGCCTGCTATCATCTTCCGCCTCACCTGCTATCCTCTTCCGCTGCGCCTGCTATCATTTTCCGCCTCACCTGCAATCCTCTTCCGCCTCACCTGCTATCCTCCTCCGCCTCACCTCTTCCACCTCACATCTTCCGCCTCCCCTGCAATCCTTCTGCCTCACCTGCTATCATCTTCCGCCTCACCTGCTCCTCTTCAGCCTCATCATCCTTCCGCCTCACCTGCAATCCTCTTCCGCCTCACCTGCTATCATCTTCCGCCTCACCTGCAATCCCTCTTCAGCCTCACCTCCTATCATCTTCCGCCTCACCTGCAATCCTCTTCAGCCTCACCTGCTATCCTCTTTCGCCTCACCTGCAATCCTCTTCCGCCTCACCTGCTCTCCTCTTCTGCCTCACCTGCTATCATCTTCCGCCTTACCTGCAATCCTCTTCTGCCTCACCTGCTATCATCTTCCGCCTCACCTGCAATCCTCTTCAGCCTCACCTGCAATCCTCTTCCACCTCACCTGCTATCATCTTCTGCCTCCCCTGCAATCCTCTTCAGCCTCACCTGCTATCCTCTTTCGCCTCATCTGCAATCCTCTTCCGCCTTCACCTGCTATCATCTTCCGCCTCACCTGCTATCCTCTTCCGCCTCACCTGCTCTCTTCTTCCGCCTCACCTGCTATCATCTTCCGCCTCACCTGCAATCCTCTTCTGCCTCACCTGCTATCATCTTCCGCCTCACCTGCAATCCTCTTCCGCCTCACCTGCAATCCTCTTCTGCCTCACCGGCTCTCCTCTTCCGCCTCCCTTCTATCATCTTCCGCTTCATCTGCAATCAAACCTCTTCAGCCTCACCTGCTATCATCTTCCGCCTCACCTGCAATCCTCTTCCGCCTCACCTGCTATCATCTTCCGCCTCACCTGCAATCTTCAGCCTCACCTGCTATCCTCTTCCGCCTCACCTGCAATCCTCTTCCGCCTCACCTGCAATCCTCTTCCGCCTCACCTGCTATCCTCTTCCGCCTCACCTGCAATCCTCTTCCGCCTCACCTGCTATCCTCTTCCGCCTCACCTGCTCTCTCCTTTCCGCCTCACCTGCTATCCTCTTCCGCCTCACTTTCAATCCTCTTCTATCTCACCTGCTATCCTCTTCCGCCTCACCTGCTCTCCTCTTTCGCCTCACCTGCTATCATCTTCCGTCTCACCTGCAATCCTCTTCTGCCTCACCTGCTATCATCTTCCGTCTCACCTGCAATCCTCTTCTGCCTCACCTGCTATCATCTTCCGCCTCACCTGCAATCCTCTTCCGCCTCACCTGCTATCATCTTCCGCCTCACCTGCTATCCTCTTCCGTCGCACCTATGAGACATGTCGCAAAATTTGGAAACCACTGGCCTAGTGGATTAAAAATTGGTTCGCGAATTTAGTGATGTAGTAACATTGAGTTCAATCCCTGGGTCAGGTAGTACAGACTTAAAGTCAGTAGAGAGAGGGTGAGGAGAAATCGAGTAAAAATCGAACAATATTAAAAATGAACGATGTATTCCAAGACATGGAGAGTGGAACGAGAAAAATATTTCGCGAGTGAATTACCGTTTCTACTTGTGTATCACGCGACTTATGAAGGCTTAATTTTAAAACTAATTTGACTACAGTAAATGGCTATATAGTTTGGTCAGGGCCAGCAGTATATAAGCTAATTTTATATCTATTGTGTGATATGACCTCCTTAAAGTTAACCTCAACATTAGGTCTTCGAAAGTTGCATGACACGCAAGTATATACGGTAAATAATTTTCAGTTCAGCATTCTCTGAAAGTTACCTGGACAGACAGATCGCTGAAGAGGGTCAGTGGTCACAAAATGTGCCTTACATAAAAAAGAAACAAAAAAAAAAACGAATAAAAATAATCATACCTTTCGTCATTTTTAGATGAGTCATTATCATACTTAAATGTTCGTACGATTAACCTTATTCCGTTGTTTTGCTTGTTACCATAATATTTCGGTCGTTTCATTTTTCGGCCTTTCTAAAGTGTATAACTAGTAGAAAAAAGTTGTTTTTTTTTATATAAATTCAATGTTAATCGTTATCTTCTGTCTTTTTAATTCCTGTTCTTTTATTGTTCACTGTCTTTAATAATGTCTTTTTCTATTTTTCTCATTCTTTCACGCTCAGTAACCACTTGAATCTTAGTGGCTTTATTGCCTTGCTTGAAGTGGAATGATAAAAAAAATAACCATTATAGCTCTTCGCAGCATTATTTGCGAATTGCCAAAGATAGTGAAATGATTTGCTGTTACCTTCTTTACAATTTGAAATTCAAAGTTTTCCTGGAGCGTCCTCTCTATTCCGCTTTTTAACCCATAAATGAAAGAAGAATTAATGGTTTTTATGCTTTTTCCAAGGGTATACGTGCGAAAAGTGAATGTAGCAGATAATGCGAGGATTTGAACTCGGCTCACCGATTCCATTTTCAGCACCAGTAAACGTTGCACCCTTCGTACACCCTACACGAGTTTAAATTTGTCAAGAGTCAAATAAAGTAATATTTGAATTTGGCAAATTCAAATACTGCTTTCTTTCACTTAGGAAACATTACAAATAGTTTTACTATGAAAATGTATTTCCATCTCTTTATTCCCCATTCTTGGGAAACGAATTACGTAATATCAGTTCTCCTATGTGCCAGTGAATTATGGACGCTCTCCTTACAGATGAAGAGGAAACTTGAGATAACAAAAACGTGGATCTACAGAAGGATGCTGAGAATACCATGGACAGAACGCGTGCGTTTTAGAGAAAATGGTAACAAAAAAGACACATGCATATTATCAGAAAGAGACAGTTGAAATTCTGTAACCCATAATGAGGAAAGAGGGTTTAGAAAATTTGCCACTCACATGAAATATTAAATGCAAGAGAGACAAAAGTAGGCAGCGCATGACCTAGCCAACGAGTTTGTGTAAATGGTTGGCAGTACAACGATTAGGAGATATAAAAAAAAGGGAAGCTTTACAAAGGGCTATAAAGGACAGTAAGTTTTGGAGGGCCATGATCGCCTATTCCCTGAACATACACAGCGTAAGAATTCAGGTATTTAAATTGAAATATTTTAGTATAGCCGAGCACTATCGTTAAATCTCACGAATGTGGAAAACTTAGGGATCAGCGAAAAGGTTACTGACTAAAAGAAGTTTCGGTTGTAGGGATGCGATATTATCTCCCTTTGGTTCAGATGAAGTCACGTAGGTCACATGACAACCGCTTAGTGGCGTTACTTCATATAGTGACAAAAGTGGTCAGTCCGTCAGTTGTCTTCCAGGAGTCAAGTCGAGCGTACCATTTTTTTTTTTTAGTACGGGCTAAATCTATCTGTTCCATCTGGGCCAAGGCTAAAACTGCTTCGCACGAGCAAGCAGCTAAAGAGTAAGCTAAAAACACGTATGGCGTCGTTTTCCTTTGGGAATATATCCTCGTTAGATACGGTGTTTACTCATTCCTCCACGAGAATGAGATGTGACACAAGTTCGGATTAATGTGGGGATCCGAGCGCGTACACTCGGGCATCTGTTCCCCCAGGCTGGACACCTCTTCAGTATAATTTTCCTCATTTGCCCCTCTGTCCTCAGACAGAGAAGCCTCTGAGCGCACTGTGTCCAAGGACAGAGACGCAACTGAGAGATGATAAATAAATAATGCGAAATCCCTCCAAGGAGGGATTTACACAGTATCCTCGTTAGATACAGAAACTATCTTCGGCTGGCAGTCTTTATGTTGGGAAATAACTATGACTCACCGTTTTCTGTTGGAGAAATATATTCTCGCTTGTGACATAGAAGATAAATCCGGCCTGCTTGAATTACCCTTTGGGAAATATAAATATGGCTTCGCCAGAAACACAGAAGAATTTTCTGACAGCTCGAATTCCTTTTGGAAATTCTCATCAGTAAGACCTTATATCATTTTTGCACTACTTGTTGTATACATGTGTTATAATTTCTCTATGTGGGACAAGTGTAAATGTTTCTATATAATATTTTGTATGACTTAACTGTAAAAAAAACTCTTTCTGAGAACAAAGTATATTTGGCATTCCATTTCTTTCGGCTATTCCGTTTCGTCCGTGTGCTTAGGTGTTATTATAGCGTGGATATAATAATACCCAAAATGGGGAGGGGGGCGCAAACTGGAAATCTTTCTTTCTTGCATAACGCTCCCATAAACTGGTGTATCCTACATGACATGACATTACCACCCCCCTTTTTCTTATGGCTTTAATTAATAACGTGTTTTATCTAAAACCCTTAAACGTTCGAAGAAAATAATTCTCTTTTAATCTTTTGAAAAAGACTATTGCAAAACTAAAAAGGAAATTTTTTTTTTTATGTTTCTTTCGGGAGGAGAACTACAGGGTGATTGAAAAGTAACTCCCTATTTTACGTATGATGGACTCTCCCATCTAACTATAATTAGACGGGAGAGTCCATCATATATAAAATAGAGAGTTATTTTTCAATAACCCTGTAGATAACATAAATTTTCAAACTTGTTTTAATAGATGACAGCAAATCAGATATTTTTTTATGTGCGAGACAAGCGTCTTGTAAAATACTACCTAGAAACATTCACCCAGGATAGAATGAAATACCGTATTTCCTCGAAATTTCCTGAGCGCTTATTTTAGAATTTCGCCAGAGTTGTACTTATTCAGTGGAGACGCTTATTCAAAGTGCGCACTTATTGAAAAATCGCTCTCATGTGAAGCAAGAGCGACGCTTATCTTTGATAATTTGATTCGGTTTATCCGTTATAAATTATAGAATCAAAGTAATACATTTTCAAACAAGAGCGCTAAAACATTTTTTCGCCAAGATCAATGATCCATTCAAAATATATTATGATTCCTAGACACACGCGTTTTATCCTCACAACGGACAAATGCAATAACAAATTGGACAGTAGAATAATAAATTGTAACCCAAATTCGATGCTCGGAACAAATTCTGAGATAAAAAAAAATCAAGAAAACAATCAGTGTGCATTTGAAAAGATATTAACTCAATAAAGTTTTGGAAAATACGAATGAGGGAGGTGCAATTCTTTATGAAAAATTACATGTCGTGTTAGACATTTTTTCTCGTCAGACTTTTACACATTTATAAGTCTACCACTTGTCCATGTATTGAATATTGCTACTACATCAAGTCTGATGCTTCTGCTATGAATTTAGAGATTCTTGATAAAATACAAAGAATCTGCAATTTTATTGGCCTTGACCTGGCATCTCGGCTTCAGTAATTTTCCCCACTTCTATAACGTAGCTTTTTACTGTAAATAGTTTCATGTGGATTTTTCTGATGAGCTTTGCTCTATGATATCTAGACTTTATGAATTTAAGCATTATACTAAATTAAAGACAAGGTTTCGCCATTTTACAGTTGAAATGGTTAGATGTAACCGTAAGTTCTATGTTAACAGTTCCTTCTATCACACTTCTCACTTGTGGAACTCTCATCCAGCTTTTCGCTTCCCGGTTAAATTTTATATTCAAAAAATTGCAATCTCAATTGTTATTTTAGCGTTCTCTTTCTGAAATTCTTTCACACTCAGTAAACCCTTACAACTTTGTGACTTTATTGGCTTCGTTGGGGGGAATAATTAAAAAAAATGCTTTTTTTTTGAAAAAATTTCTTTTATTCTGTAAGTAGACCAAAAGGAAACTTTTCGATTTTTAATTTGTATCACCTCCTTAAGTTGATGTAAATTAATTTACACATTTAGAAAGGAACGCTTATTCCAGGGAGGCGATTATTTAAAATATCTTCGCTATGCGGGTCACGTATTCCAGTGAAGTCGCATTTTTAAAATATCTTCTTGATGTGGGTCACTTATTCCAGGGAAGACACTTATTTAAATAAGTTCTTGATGTGGGTCGTTTATTCCAGAGGAGGCGCTTATTTAAAATAACTTATTGATGTCGCTTACATATTCCAGGGAAGGCGCATATTTAAAACAACTTCTTTGTATGGGTCACCTATCCAATGGAAGCGCTTATTTAAATAACTTCTTGATGTGGGTCGCTTATTCCAAAGAGGCCGCTTGCTTTACAATTATTTCTTCATTAGGATGAATTATCCAATTTAGGGCCCTTAAAATTACTTCTTGACGGATTTCGCTTCTTCGGGAGATAGCGCTTATTTGAGGATATACAATATGACAGATGAATCTGGGATTCTTCACAGAGGGAACTGGAGAGTGGGTGATTATTGATAAAATTTCCTCTTATTTAGATATGTGTTTTGGTGTCGATGAGAATCCTTGATCAGTTCCCTGAGAAACATATTAAATAATCCTTTTAATT